GTTGATCCGCTATGCAGGACGCACGGAGCTGACACTTCTCAGTTGGTGCCTCCCGAGATCCAGTCGCGAAGTAAGCCTCATCTGAAGTTCGTCTCGAAAGAGGGAGTGTCCCCATTCTGTTGGTTATCTTGGGAAGCTTCAGCCCGCAGGACTGCCGGCGGTTCTCGTGGTGGTGGCCTCAGCTGAATGCGGCTTCCATGGGCTAAAGCTTTTGGCTAGGATGTGCAGGCATGGACCCGCGTGTGGTGTTCTCCAATCACCCCCGGAGGAAGCCTCAACCATCTTGAGAGTGCGTGCGTGTGTGTTTGGGTTGAGGGTTCAGAGGTTCTAGGATTCAGTGTTTCTTTCGGTCCGGCCCTCCTTTTTCCTGTTAGGTCGGATTGGGGTTTAGGGTTTAGGGTTGAGGGTTGAGGGTTGAGGGTTGAGGGTTTAGGGTTTAGGGTTTAGGGTTTCGGGTTTAGGGTTTAGGGTTTCGGGCCCTAGACTCCCTCGAGTCGAAGCCTGCGACGTTGGAGCGTGGCAGGCTGAGGCCGTGAGCCGCGCATGGCGGCAGTCCCTGGCAAGTGCGGACGTTTGGCGGGCACTCTGCTCCGGCCTCGGGAGCGGCACAGGATTTCTGAGCCAAACGGGTGTTTAGAGGCTTTTGTAAGCTCCCAGAGCGAACCTCGAGATCCCCTGTGTCAGCTGCAGTTCGAAGGAAGGCCAGTTCTTTGGGTCGAGTAAATAGATGCTTGTTGCTTCGAGGGTTTGGATTCGTGAAGCGCACTAGACTCGGATGCAGCATGATGCAGCCCAGAATATCTTGTCCAAGTCAAACTGCTGCCTTCAACTGGGACTGTCAACAGCTGAGCCCTTGTTCGAATTATTCGCTGCCAAGCGGCAGGCTGGATCGAGAATGAAACGTCATGACAGAACCCATCCCGAATGCAAGGCAGTCGCTGCCTAATGCAACCTGTATAGTCAGGCACAGTCTACATTAAAAAACAAGAAAACAACACGAACGCTACAAAAGACTACAGAAACTTCGGCACAGCCATTCTTAGAAGCGTGTGTTCGCAGAAGGTTTGGACATCTCAGCTGGAGGCTTCGACCGGCTTGTTCTGTGGTTCGAGATTGCAGCTAAACCTAAAACCTGACCCTCTCCTTCGAGGCTAGGACGAGGCAGACAGGTTGACATTCAGCTCAAGCTTCGTCCCTTGAGGGTTCTTTCAGCAATACTTACGGTGGAAAGGTGACTTCTAGATTCTGGGGCTTCTGTCCATTGTGTCGTGATGGCGTGCTGGCCAGGACGAGAGTCGGAAGTGCCGTCTGAGGTCCGGGCTTCAGAGCCCGCGGTGATTACTTGACTTCCACATTTGGGACTTCTGTCAGAGCCGCATTGTTGCGAACAGTTTGATCGATATTGTGGCCTTCGTCTCGTGATGGCGTGATGGCCAGGACGAGAGTCGGAAGTGCCGTCTGAGGTCTGGGCTTCAGAGCCCGCCGTGATTACTTGACTTCCACATTTGGGACTTCTGTCAGAGCCGCATTGTTGCGAACAGTTTGATCGATGCCGTGGCCTTCGTGTCGTGATGGCGTGATGGCCAGGACGAGAGTCGGAAGTGCCGTCTGAGGTCTGGGCTTCAGAGCCCGCGGTGATTACTTGACTTCCACATTTGGGACTTCTGTCAGAGCCCCATTGTTGCGAACAGTTTGATCGATGCCGTGGCCTTCGTGTCGTGATCGCGTGATGGCCAGGACGAGAGTCGGAAGTGCCGTCTGAGGTCTGGGCTTCAGAGCCCGCGGTGATTACTTGACTTCCACATTTGGGACTTCTGTCAGAGCCCCATTGTTGCGAACAGTTTGATCGATGCCGTGGCCTTCGTGTCGTGATGGCGTGATGGCCAGGACGAGAGTCGGAAGTGCCGTCTGAGGTCTGGGCTTCAGAGCCCGCCGTGATTACTTGACTTCCACATTTGGGACTTCTGTCAGAGCCGCATTGTTGCGAACAGTTTGATCGATGCCGTGGCCTTCGTGTCGTGATGGCGTGATGGCCAGGACGAGAGTCGGAAGTGCCGTCTGAGGTCTGGGCTTCAGAGCCCGCGGTGATTACTTGAGTTCCACATTTGGGACTTCTGTCAGAGCCGCATTGTTGCGAACAGTTTGATCGATATTGTGGCCTTCGTGTCGTGATGGCCTACAAAGTTTTGGTTTTCGGGTTAAGGGTGGCCGTAAAGACCCTACCGCTGCTGGCAGGCGAAAGTGCACGCGAGCAGCTTCCTTGGCGCTCCGAGGCATTTGCCGTGGCAGCCGAGCATGTCGCAAGTCCAGAGAAGGTCAGGGCGGTTAGGAGTTTAGCGCATCAGTTGCCACTGCTCTCCGTACCTCCAAGCCCGAGACAAGGCCTCCATCAGCTGACAATGCCCTCTGCCACATAGATCACAAAGACCTCTCAGGCAAGCTTCACGAACATCTGCTGAGAACCCTTCTGCCACATAACTCGACCAGGTGAGCATGATGAGCATCACTTGCGCGAGCACTCTACCACTCTGGATCTGTGGCAACTCAAAGCACCAATCCTTGCATCTGAAGCCCCAAAGTACGCCAACCTCCTGCATTTGATTTGAAAACAAGAGGAAGTACAGGACAACAGCCACAAAACTCTGGTATGCACTGCCAGCGCAAGCTGTGCAGGCCCGGCGCCTCTGGGGCCAGCGCTGCCGAAGCTGCGGGGGGCAGATCCAGGCTCGCTGTTCTGAGTCGGGCTGAGTCGGGCTGAGCCTATGGGGGGTCTATGTATTTGGATCTGAATGTGTGATGTGTTGTATGTTGCATTTGGTACTTTTTTGTTGGGTTCAACGGGTGTCCTCCGTTACCCTCCTTCGATTCCGGATCCCCACCATGCAGCTGCAGCCCTTGTCCTAAGTATCGGACGGCTTCCTTATGTGCTGCAAGCCCTTTCCAAGATGACTGAACCCGCCAACACAGCCCAGGTTGACGGCAAAGCACGTCCCGAGCAGTGCCCGCAGTGTGGCTTTGGGCTGGGGGCCCTCTCACAGGCCGCGTATGGTTTGATGCCTGTAGAAAGAGGATTTAGGGTGTTGGGTTGTTCGGAGCTAAGTTTGAAAGAGTGAAGCTGAGCCTATGTTGAAGTCCTCGGCTTTCAAGATCAGTGAGCGCCCGGAATAAGCTTTGGAAGTGACAGCTGCAGTTGGAGGTCTGCTGCCTAGGGCCAGCGCTAGGGTTTCGCAGCTTGCTTGGTGAATCATATTGGGGGGCTGCAAGGCTTTGTCCAGTCTAGACTCTTTATCCGGGGTTCATGGCGCAGCCCTTTTGGTTGTCAAGCTTCTGTGGGACTGCGAAGGTACATGCTAAACGTGAGGTGCCCGCAAGGGCAACTGGCAGGGGCGGAGTCTAAGCGCAAGACGCATACTTGCGCGCAGACCAGCAATGGCCCGACACATCACCCATCGATGAGATTCTACGTGCACATGACATGGAAGGGCTAGCGATTGAAAACAACGAGCTGCGCAGAAGCTCTGCCGCGACACCTCCCATAAAATGAAGGGTTTAGGCCACCGGGTCCCTTGTGAAAAACCGCTGCTGCGGCAGATGCGCCATTGAACTTTGAACAACCCAAGTCCAGACCTTAAAATCGGTTTTTTGTGTGATGAGCTGGTCCAGGCGATGAGCTGTGAAGACGCTGAGCGGCTCGACTGGCTCCATCGGCTGGAGCCCCTACAAGGCGTGGGGCAGCGAATGTTGCGTTTGCAGAATGGTTGCAGAATGGTTGTTTCGTTACTGTTGATCGTTGCTGTTGATCGTTGCTGTTGATCGTTGCTGGTTGTTGTGGTTTGCGGATGTTTGCGGGCCAACAACAGCTCGTAGCTTGACGACTCCTGAAAAGACCCCTCAGAGCTGGGAACTCTGGCATTCCAGGCTTCTTGCCCAGCTGCCTTGATCTGGCACAGGCTGCGTGCGGTTGAGAGTTGAGAGATTTATGTGACTTTGATGGATTTGGGTTTTGGTAGAAACTTCGGGCAGCAGAGCATGAGGATGAGGGTTTTGGGGGAACCGGCAAGTCAGGGCAACATCCTCAACAATGCTGATCCATCCGCAGACTCAACATTTTGCAGCCTTTGCTTTCGTCGGCAATCTCGTGAGCGATCAAAGGTCGCTTGCTGCTCCTGGCCACAAGGTCTGTTTACCAGATTCCCCATTAAAACAATGTCCCGTTCTACACAGGACTGTTGCGGTGGTTGCCATGGCAGTTGTCCGTATCAGCATTTTGTTCATAAACATCTTCGGATGTGAGCTTGCATGCAGGGCATTGTTTTGTCTAAACGCCCAAAGCTTAATGTTCCTTCGGTGAAGCACTGGTATGGAATGCGGCGCGGACTTGTCCACACAGACTCTTGCATTTCTGTGTGGTTTTTCTCGGTACTTGCGACCATTCCTCCACTTTGTGTAGTACCTTCAAGCCTAGACTCTCAGTCCCATTAAAGCATCCGGGCTTTCGGACATGCGCAGTTCGCAGGCAAATCTTTGCTTTTCCAGTAACCTCCATGGCCGGGCACTGCAGGAGCAGCTGGGTGTTTGGGTTTGAGTCGATCATTGGTATGGCATGGGATGCGCTTGGGTCATGAGGCAGACCATTGAAGCAGAAGTGCGCGTTCGGAGCGTGGAGCTTTCCATGAACTCATAACGTTGAGGAGAGTTTGCATGTTCGCACTTCCATGTGCAGGTAGCACAGCCAGCTTGGAGCCCCAACCGGGCCGGATAGACATGCAGAGACACGTTCTGCCTGCAGTTTCGAGTTTTGGCGTTTGTCCACACCACCGAACTTGGGCTATTTGATATCAGCAAATGCAGGAAACTGATGGAAGCTTGTTCAGAGCTATCGTATGGACGTGACATAGTTGAGGGAGCTGGTTCAGTCAATCAAATCCAGACATCGGCAACACGCTATACATTTACTGAACGCCCCTTAGCCGTTTATTCGTAGTTTCGCCTTCCAAGCCATGCCGAAGTACAGCGAGATGTCGGGTAGGGTCGAGAACCTTCCCGGGCACAAGCCCTTGGACAAGCATCTCGGCCTGTTTGTGGATTTGAAAACCTCCAAAAAAAGGGCTCAACCCACACAAGCCCAGGTATGACCTGCCGGAGTGGTGCGCGCACCCTCTCAGGGAGCCAGCAGCGCAACCCAACATGCTCATCTTTCCGGGCGAGCAGACTCACTATGCTGGGACACGGGTTTAATGGTGTGGGGTTGATCACAATCAGCCTCGTCTTTGAATTTTCGGGTTTTGGGTTTAGGCTGTAGGGTTTTCAAGGTCTTGTGGGGCTGAGGTTTTGGAGTTTCGCGTTTTAGGGTTTTAGGGCTTTAGGATTTTGGCGTTTTAGCCATTAGTCCAACATCTGTTTTGTGCAACGATTCAAGTTTGAATCGCTTGAATCGAGCTGAATCGGGGCCCCGGATCCTGCCCCTTAGATCCGGCGTCCGAATCGCACTTGAACCTCTTAAACCGGATTGAACTCCACGTCTGCAACGGGAAATACTGAAAACAAGGACTGGAAGTACTGAACTCAAGGTCCCCAAGGTTGCCAAGAAACTGTTGGATCCCAATCCTCGATTCCAACGGGAATGCCGCGGAGGTAATGAACGTACTGCACTCAGTCTTCGGGGGATCCAGGATCCAAGATCCAAGGATGAGCAACCTCGGATCTTGGATCTTGGATCTTGGACCGGCATTCTCAGGGCTTTTTCAGTAGACTTGTCAGAGCCCCCTGCAATCTTGGATATGGATCCAGAAAGTATTGCACCCAGCATAGGTTATTCGGCCTCGAAACCTTGGATCTTGGCTTCTTGAGCCTCAAATTTGCATGTTTTTAGGCCTTAGAAGCTTGAATCTGGGATCTTGAGCAAATTGGGTTGGAAGACAAAATATAACTCATCTCTCGGCTGGTTAAATAGATAAATCACGAATGATTTTCATGTTTTCAACTTAGTTGAGTTAATAACCATCAATGCAGTTCAACGATAGAGTAGCTGCACTTAGAGTTTTGTTTGTACTCGACTCTCCCCATAATCGTTTACATACTTCTTGAAGGAGTGCACATACTTGGGGGGGGGGGAGCAAATACATGAATTAAGCTCATGCACCTGCAACTGTCCATACTATGTTCTCCGTAGTGGAAAATGCAAGTAGCTTCATTCTTTTGGCTAGCATAACGAGAGTTGATGTGTTTTTCTTGACAGCGAATGGGACAACGGTTGCTATTGTCTTTGCTTTTGCCACGAGTGACAAAACCAAATCCCCAGGGAGAATCTCAGAACCCTCGCTTTTTTCGTTTTGTTCCTGGAGTTTTTTTGGTTTGTTTGTTGTTGGTTTCGCTTGAAGTTCCCAAGGCAACACCATCCAAAACCGCAAAAGACAAGAGCAAACCGATTAATTAAAAAGAACGAAGAACCAAAATCAACCAGCTCCGAGATTCTCCCTATAGGGCGAAGCCATGAAACCGAATCCAGGATGTTGGCTGCCTGCCAGAGCGTGCCCCAGCTGCAGGAGCTTGGGCCACGCAGTTGGAAGTGATTTTTGGCCTCCTGTGTTTGTTGGGCCATGAGGAAAGCATAGAAGCCGTTGCACTCCGCAAAGGCACCTTAAAGCCAAAGGAAAACCCAAGCTGTTCAGCTTTAGCGTAACACTGAGATGCCAACATCGCTTGCCCTTGAGAACCTCCTCAGCCCTGAACTGCAAACCAAAGCCAACTTCATGAACCCTACAAGCTCTTGGGCAATCGCAGCTGTGCTTTTCCATCCCCCTGCTCACCATCATCATCACCACCTACAGAGCAAGAGCTCAGAGGGCGACGCAGATGGGCACGATGTGGCCCTAAGCTGACACATGCGGAGCCGAACCCACAAGGCCCTAAACTCCTCCAAAGCCCCCGAGGCCTTCAAGCCCTAAATTACATGACTAAGGATATGGTGGAGCTGGCGAGCGAGGCCTTTGACTTCGACGTCCAGCGAGTGCTGGAGGAGTGCGGCCCCGAGGACAACGCCGACCGCACGGACCGCAGCCAAATGTTCCATGGCCTGCGGATGCCTGCGGTAATACGGTAATACGCTAAGTCTGTTGTGATTCCAGGACAGCCTTTCAAAGGTTCCTTCAGGGTTCCTTCGTTGAGGGTTTCTGACACATGACAAGACCTTGCTGGAGCTCCCAAGCGCAGAGCCAGATGCGAGGTGCTCAGGACAAGATCGGAGGGCGTATTTCTAAAACGCCCTTCATTTGTTGCTGACGTTTGGGGTCCTCTCCTCAAAACAGCAGAGGAGCGCCCCTGTCTGGATGGGTGTCCATGCTGTTTGGGGTCTTCGCCCGTGCTCACTTTTAAGCCAGCCCGCGCCAAGAACCAAACAAACTTGTACTAGCAAGCCGACGTACGTATCAGAAAGCCGTCACGGACCACCAGCCCGCAACAAGCCCCCAGCCAAATAAAAACAGAGAGCCGGTGCGAGCCACCACCCCGCGCCAAGATCCAAGCAAAATTGTACTAGAAAGCCGGCGTGGGCCACCGGTCCGCACCAAGCCCTCAGCCAAAATGCAACAGAGAGCCGGTGCGGGGCACCAGTTAGCGCCAAGATCCAAGCCAAATTGACCTAGAAAGCCGGCGCGGGCCACCGGCCCGCACCAAGCTCCCAGCTAAATTGTAGCAGAGAGCCTGGGGCTGTGTTCATCCTCTCCCCCAACCCCCCGCCCCCCCTTTTAGGCTGTGCAACTTGCTTCAATTGTGCAGTCAACGACATCCATACGAGGGGGCTGCGCCCCACCCCCTCCAAGCCGCCCTTCTTTTCTGAGCCCTGCATTCTGGCTTCAACAGAATGTCATGCCATCAGTGGAAATGTCTTCAAAATCCATACGCATCTTTTCCAAACCCATCATACGAGCATTGTGTTTGCAAGTGAGGGGAGGCAAGCGCCTGGCAAGTCATACTAGCGATTGGCAACCACTTGCCTGCTCTCGTCCTGACATGGTTTGCAAAGCCTACCAGTTCTCATCCTCGTCCTTGGTCTGCAAACGGGCGGGGAGGGCCCCCCAAGTCACCGAACAAATGAAAAAAGCAACAGGCCGAGAGATGTACGAGAATCACCAACTCACCCCCACCCCCCCCGTTTTGATAAAGCCACGCGGAAAAATCTGAGAACACCATTGAAGGTGTCAAATGACTCACAACAAAAGCAAAAACGAGCACGGTTGAAGATGAAAAGTCTATTCGAGTTTTTCTACATTGAGTGTGAGGTTAAGAGGAAGAGAAACAAAACAATCAAGTTGTCAAAAATCGCGTTTGAGGCTGAGAGAAAATGCTTCAAACAACATGCCAATGGAACCCTTGCCAAACTCGTCATACGAGCACCAACCGCCCCACCCCCGCTATTTAAGGCCATGCTTAAGAGGAAGTCGTTCGGCAAGACAAACTAGTCCTTTGGATACATTAGCATTCGCACTCTTATGCAAGCAGTGGGATGCGCCCCTCCACCCTCCCCCCCCATTGCTGCAAACCATACACTCCTCCGCCCTGTCATGCCCCGCATCTTTCCTGCTTCCCCCACCTGGCACTGTTCCGTCACGGACCTGATCTCGTGGCCCCTTTCCCGGCTAAGCGAGAATTGAATATATCTGAGATGTTTCCTAAAATCCCCATACGGTATTATTCTTGAGTAAGAGCAAAGAGCTGTGCCCCACACCACCCTCCCACCCCAACTTTGTGTTTAAGGTACCTCCCCGCTTTTGTAAGGACATCCTGATCGTAGGAGCAGCTCCTTGAAATCACACAAGTCTATACAAATCTTTATGTTGTGCGAACATGTGTTTGCAACGAGGAAGGCCTGCTCCTCCAACAGTTTTCCCTGGTAATTTTGTTTTTCCTATGAACATATCCAATGGAAATCGAGGTTTGGTACTACGAACTGAGGAAACGATGGGGGTCTTCCTTTGGCAGTGCCAAATAAAGGTTGCATAGGATTAAAATTCAGACAATGCTTTCATGATGTTTGCATGCGACCCCGATGCCCCAAAGTGCAAAGGCTGGCCTACGTTGCCGATTGCGTGGCTTTCGAGCTCCTAAAGCAGCATCAGCCGGACGTTGCCCTAAAACCACGCGCGGTGGCTGGCTTCTCGGTTGGTGAGGTGGCTGCGCTTGTGGCTGCCGGGGTCATGTCGTACGACCAGGGCCTCATCATTGTGAAGGCACGTGGGGAGGCCATGCAGCAGTGGGCAGACGAGGAGGACATGGCCGCCGTTGCCGTTTTTGGCATGGACGAAGATCAGCTGCTGAAGCTGTGTAGCCGTGTGAACCCTAACATGCGTGCGCCATCACAGCAGAAGGTTTTCATCGCATATTGCTGGGGTCGCCGTGGCTTCGTGTGTGCTGGACAGCACAGTGCCGTCATGGAGCTGCAGCACCTGTTGCAGCAGTCGTCAGGCGAAGCTGTCTTTACACAGGTGCTGCCGGAGCACAAGCATGCCGGGCACACCCCATTGGCTTCTAGGGTGGCAGAGGAGGTGGAAGAAGCCATCAACAGCATCCCAATGAATGCTCCCACTTGCGAGGTCTACTTCAACACGGGCTACCGTGTTGCGGCTGGTGAGGACCCATCAGTGTTCGTTCCCTACTTGCTGCAGCAGCTCACAATGCCGCTCCGCTGGGACTTCATTATCCAGACGAGCCTTCAACGTGGCATCCGTAGGTTCTTTGAATGTGGCCCTGGTCAAAGCTTGAAGGAGTTGATGATCTTCAACCCCTCCAGCACTCCCACGCAGACCATCCGGCCGTACGAGCTCACGACCAGCTTGAAAGTCTGACCTTGCGCAGCATTGACTTTGACGACCACTCTTCGCGAGAGAAAACGTGCTTGCTGCAGCGTCCGGCTTTGCCTTTTCATCCCTTCATACCATGAGTGGGGTCTGCGATAAGCCCCTTGAGCTTCGACCGAGTGGTCGTGGCTGTAATGGCAGCTGTAGGCATGCCGCTGCCTGACAGGAGCTTACCCGTCGAACGTCGCTTCAATACTGCTCCAGTGCGGACGCAGGTGCGGTTCAGGGTTTTTCGGGCTGGGCACTAGCTCCTTGTATAAGGCCTGAAGTTTCAGTCAAGAAGTCAAGGTTCGTAGCTCAAGCGGCAGGATCAACAAGACCACGTCTCTGAACATGTGGGAGCTAGGACGTGCCACCGGGTACGCTGAGAATTGTCAGATGATCCCATGTAGAGGTGGCCAGCATGCGGAACTCATACAGGAAGTCCCAATCCGAAAAGTTCATTCCAAATTCTTTTTCCTAGATGGAAGACCACTTCCGTGAGCGGGCGTTGAAAATCCAACGTTCATGAGGGGCGTTCAAGGGGGAAGGGAGCGTCAGTTCCGTTCATTTGGGTGCTTGTGGCTATTCCCAAACTCTTTTGATGCGGCTGCTTTGGTTCTCGGAGTTTCTGGGCTGAATTCACGTGCTGCCGGGTTGTATCGTTGTAGGTTCAAGACCAGGTTGCTACACACTTCTTGCGGTCGTGACGGAGCAGGGAAGAATGCTGGGCAGCCTGGCAGTCTTATTTTTTGGCCCTCCCCGAACTTCAATCCAGGAAGCCCTGGAGCATCATAGCATTCCTGGGTCAGAACGTCAAAAAGCCCCAAAGCCCGTGCCTCCTGGCAGTTGAGGCTGCTTCACCGACTTCCCTTGGCGATGTCGCTGCTCCTGCTTGGGAGATGTCTCTGGGGAATGCTTCGTTTTCTCGCTGCAAGAGGCTTGGCTTTGAAGGCTCCCGCTTGGCGTTGAAGGCTCCCAAGCTTAGGATTGCTTCGAGGCCTTTCTTTCAAACACGCATGGTGCACTAGCCAAGCATGCCAAGGACAGCGTGGCAGATGTGTACAGAGGATCTGCTCGAGGCGGACGCTGTTGGTTTGCGGTCAGCATACCGTAAGATAACTGCCCAGCTGAAACTTGGGCCCGCAGTACGGGCATCCAACAGGCCAGTAGAGGGCTACGACTCCTTGAAGGTCCATATAGTCCTCGAAACAGAGGTTAAATTGCGAAAGCGCTGTGCTAAAAGGGCTTTAGCATTTCGGTTCAGTCCTGTTCGCTGCCCCATCAACTGACGTCAAGTTGCCGGGTGTGGAGACAATCACATGTACATTGGATGCCCCCACAAAAGCAGCACCAAGGAATGTGTCCAACATGTCCAAACGAGCTGTACATGCATGTGGATCGTAACACCAAGCAGTGTGTCCAAAATCTCCAACCCAAGCATTCTAAAATCAGCGCGACTGTGAAGCGAGAACTCGGCAAGGCTTCGTACTGCGCTTAGCTGCAGATCGCCTTGCAGTTGGCCACCAGGTGTGGCCTCGTCCGGCTGTTGCAAATGCGGGTTGGACGGTTAAATGGGTCAAGATCTGTTAAGATTTTGGGCGTGGAACCTTGTCTGAATGTGGAGGGCGTTGTAAAGGTGCTTGTATGTAGCCGTAGGGCAGTCATTTTGGTTTGGCTCAAAGAACACAGCGGGTGAGGGGTATGCTCTAGCCTCGTCTCCATGCCGAACTCGCAGAAAAACCGAAGAGCCTTCAAGCAGTGCTTGGTTCTTTCAGATGACTAGGGCGTTGGCGTGCAATCGCCACCCTAACTTCCCGAAACACTCCACAAAAGCCTGGAGCATTCTGTTGGTCTTGTGGAGGTGCGGCGAAAAGCGACGGCGCTGTCGCTGGATGCCTCGCTGCTCTGGGTGGCCAGCGAGAAGGGGGAGCTCTTCCGATGCTTGGCTTAGCTGAAGATGGACGTGAAGGAGAGAACCAGCGCGAATGAGGGGCAGCCACAAAGCTCTAAGTCCCAGAAGGGCTGTTGGACCTGACGACCCCGAAGACTCTGGTTGGGTGTTCAGGCTTAGGGATGTTTTCGCTTACCTGCAGACGCTGACGCTACTGGGTAGACCAGCAGACACCTCTGACCCGGCATCTATCTCCAATTGTCCATCTACGAGCCTTACATCCTCAGATTGCTGAGCCTGACAAGCCCCTGCGAAGCCCGTGTTTTGTGCTGCGTGCGCATATGGTTTCGGAGCTGGCAATTCTTTTCCTCTGTTGACCCCCCTATCCAGCAGGCGTCCGACTCAAGAAGACTAGGTCTTTCAGGACCAATTTCAGGGAGCCCAGTGCCGATAGCCCCTTAAGCTGAGGGCTTCAGGGGCGCGCTTTCTGAACTCTTGCATGCTCTCAGCTTCGGGCCTTGAGCAGTTTAAGAGTGTCATTGGACGCAAAAACCAAAACTCTTCCGCAAAAGGAACGCAGCCCAAGGGTCACTTCTGCACGTTTTTGTTAGTTCACTCGGCATGGGATGACATTGTGCATCCACAGGCATGAACTCCACACGCTGAAGCTGCAAATTGAAGTCGTGCTAACCTGAACTCTCTAATCCTCCACACTATTCCAAACCTTGTCCCCACGAACGCCCTAGAACACTGGATGGACCGGAAAAGCGCAGTACTAGGTAGCTGGGGGATCAGCAGAAATTTTTAGTTTTTCTCCCTCTGCGGAAGCGAGGGCCAGCCTCCCAAGCCCTAAAGACCAGTCGGGGCCCAGGAAACCCGTGCTTGTTGGATGCCGGTGTGGATTCTGCCACAGCGGGCGTGGCCGCTGTCGTTTGCCTGAGCTGCTTGGGAGCAGCAGCTAGCTTAAGCCGCTTTGTTGTGCTTGGATTCTGCATCAGCCTCAAGAAAGAGATGTGCATCTCAGCTCTTAAACACCTACCTCTGCGCCTTCTTAGACTTCAGCCACACAGATGGGCTACATGCATTGACATCTAAGAAATCCGGAGATCTGGTGAACCCTGAAACCATGAAGGCCACAAAACCTGGAATACATGATCCCCAAAGGACATGAGCACCCCCAAGTCCTAAAACATCCGCTGTCAGGCTGGGTCCTGCAGGAGTCCGAGGAAGGGGAGGAGCAGCTGCCCTTGGCGCTGCAGTCCAACCAGGACCGCTGGAATGCAGAATTACACCTGCCTTAACAGTAATGGTGCCTTGGCGCTCGAGGCTTCAGGGTTTTGCTGCTGGGTTTTCCAAGCTGTGCATGTGCTGGGTTTGTGGTAGGTCTGAGGCCGGGGCGAAGATTGGAACAAGAGCAGGTCGCGAACAATACTACCGCAGCTGTCCCCGATTTTTGCTTGGATTTGCATGGATCATCGCAGTGCTCTTCTCATGTGTTTTCCTCTCCTCGCAGCATAGGTTTACATTCAGCTGAACGAGGAGTCAATGTCTGCTCAGCCAACGTGGTGCGGTAGTGTGCACGGTCGTAGTAATTGCCGGCGAGTCTTTGGTGCGTGTGCTACTCTCCATCGCCGCCATGGGGAAAACTTTCCAAAGCCTCTCTGAAGACCACGCAGCCCGGCAAGTAGTTGGAATCGTACATTGAATCTTCATTGAGTCTTATTGAAATTAAAAATAAAACATGCGTTTCTGCACTAGTCGTCGTCGTCGTCCTCGCCGCCGCCGCCGCCGCCGCCGCCGCCGCAGCAGCAGCAGCAGCAGCAGCAGCAGCAGCAGCAGCAGCAGCAGCAGCAGCAGAAGTCGTACCGGTCTCGTTCCTACATTCCGTTCTTGCATTTGCATGCATAGGTGGCTTGGCTGAAGAAGCAGAAGGTGTTCTTTGTGGCCAGCGCGGCTTCCAAAGGTCCCAGCTGGGATCTGTGCGTTCTACCTTGTTGTTCTTGCTGCTTCTCCTTACACCCTTATCATACCTCATCAGTTTTCTGCAGCCTGCAGCCCCTGGTAGTGTAAAGAGAGTCAACTAACTCAACTGATGAACGCTGTTTCCGGATCTTTGAGCCGATGGTTATTAGAATGTCTTCAACCCTAAAGGGTTCAGGATGAAGGCCTAGACAAACTCGAAATCGAAAGCTCAAACCCCAGCCCACCTCATGCTGGGAGAAACATGTGTCCTCCGTGCTTTTCCTCGAGTCTGTCAACTCGTGGCAGGTTTGGGCCATGCGCTTCTTTTACCTAGTAATTGCAATGCCAGCACAACAAGCTGCATAGTCTTCGGCTTACTGTCAAAGTGCAATGTAGGTATCCTGTGTAGTTGCGTTTGCAGTACGACATGGCTTTAGGTGCTTAAACCGCAGGCGCCATATCGCGCTTCTGTTGTGTGTAGTATCAGAATTTAACAATGTCATCCACAATTAATATGATCTGATTGACCCGTTTAATATTGATTGATTGGGCTTTCATTTCGCGTGTTCGCTTCGCTCGCGCATGTACTAGTTACTAGCTAACAGGGAAGTGTCCAATAAATTCTGGCATTATGTAGATATAACCAAGGGTCCAAAAGCTACCAAACTTAGTGTCTAAGCATTCAGGCTGCGAGTGTCGCCGGATGGCACATTCCCGCATTCTCTCAATACTTGTAGTGCTTTTCTAGAAGGTGGCCAGTACCTTCAAGACGTTCAAGCCCTTCACAACCTTCGTGGCGCTTTAGCTCGTTAACGTCCGCTCGCTGTGGCCAGGCCACGTCAACCTCTCTCCCAAAGGCCGGGCCAACTTCGGGGCTGGAGTCAGGAACTTAGGGATTTTAGGGTTAAGTTATTCTTGCTTTCAGGTTTAAGCTGAAGTAGCATCAGGAAGTATCAAGCCCATGGTTTAAGGGTTTCTCCTCTGAAAACATGCGTGGCTGTTTGGCCCAGAGACCTAGCTGGCGTGTCATCAGCACCACTCCAACCCCAAAGTACTGAACTTCACAGAATCGCTTCCGTTCCACCTACTTTTCCTTCGGTGATAGTCACAGTCACCATGATAAACCCCCACAGGATAGCTATATAGAGGCTCACTCTGATTGAGAGGCCCACGCCCTTTTAGTTCCAGCCCCTGTCGCATCCTGAAGGTTACACTGCGGGCACGTTTGCGATTCTATCGCCGACGCAGGTGGTGCCTCGGGCAGTATGCTGTGAGAGTGCTTGGGCATTTGCGAAGCATCGTGCTAGACCACTAGCTTCAAGGCGTTGTGCTGGGCCTCGCTTTAAGCATTGCAGGGGTAGGCTTCAAGACTGAGTTGGGAAAGTTTGGTCTCTTCCTTGAGGTCTTGTGATTCGCTCTAAGGCATACCTAGACTTCACTGGCAGTGGCGCTGAAACCATTGCGCACTCCTTGCAGCTGCCCAGCGTGCAAGATGTATCGATCCTACTTGCAGCAGTGAGTCAGCATTGTCGCAACGTCGCAACCAACCGAAGACTGCCACTATCGCTACCCTTCCGGAATCCGCTGCCACTACTAGCTACTAGCTACAACCCACTGCCGCTGCGACAGCCACTTCATAATGGTGGTTATTGAGGTCATAAGAGAATCCTATTATTTGCGGGTCAATTTCAGGGCCTTTTTCGTAAACACCCAAGTAGTTGGAAGGTCATCCTCCATACCTGCGACATGCAAACAAGCACCGTCGCCACGGAGCAACTTCCCATCCTAACTTCCACATGGGGCAGGTTTATGTCAAGATCGTGCCCGCAGTCGGACATAGTGAAGAGTTGTTAGCAGATTTCATGTGCCAGCACACGTATCATCTCTGATCGGCAGTTGGGCCCTGAAAAGCTCTTCATGGCTGCTCCGGGGATGCCAAGGAACCGACGCATCACGGTGATGTTTGTGGCATTCGAGGGCGACCCCATCATCATGAGGCGCAAGCACTTTTCTTCTAGATTTGGAGTACGGAGTCCAGGTTTTGACAAATCTTCATAGCTGCGTTACTTGAAGCCTTTGGGGCGCGGGAAATGGGTTTTGCATTGCAGCTTGGTTTAAACCGTTGGGCCGCGCCGGTTCTCAATCTAAAAAAACTACCAAGTGTAGTTTTTTCTCGAGCAGCCGAGAACTGAAACCTTCATGGACAGGAGGGTGTGGTTTAGGGATTCATGGCTTTTGCAGTTGAATCAACAGTTCGCAGAGGACAGGAATGGTTGCAAGTTGAAACCGGCCCCAGTCAAAACCTGCGTGTCCCGAAGAAGTACCGCATTTCCATATCTTGACCCCCCAAAGCCGAATCTTTTCATCTTTGGGCTGCAGACCCCTCACGCTAAGCTGGAGCCCGCCAGCCTGCTAAAGGCTCTTTGGGAACATGCACGCTGCTCGGCGGAGCAAGGTATCCGCAAAAGTTTCCCGGGGCCAGGGAATGCCTGTGACTTCAGCACGTACTTGAAGTTGAACTCACAAGAGGCAGCAAAGGTGCAGTTTAAGTGCCGCGGAACTTCGGATTGCACGGGTTTTATGGAAGGTTTGAGTGGATTGGGCTCGGCTTGTTGAGGCTTGGAAAACAAAAGACAAATTCCCACTGTGAAATGTTTGCTGGATGGCTCTTTGCGCTGGCTTTTGCTTCAAGAACAGAAAAGTCTACAGCTTCAGGGTTCAAGAGTCTGTTGTGACATTTAGTACCTAAACTGATTTGAAATGAGAATCACAATCTTGATCAAGCAATCTTAGTTGATCTTTATTCGTTGTTACTCTGTACTCCAAGTAAGTGCTTGTTAAGATTTACAACGAAAAGCAGCACACACACACACACACACACACACACACACACACACACACACGCACGCACGCACGCACGCACGCACGCACGCACGCACGCACGCACGCACGCACGCACGCACGCACGCACGCACGCAAGCAAGCAAGCAAGCAAGCAAGCAAGCAAGCAAGCAAGCAAGCAACACATCCCTCTCGGTGCAAGGATGGTGCAACATTGCACAAGCCATTTCTCACTTCAATTGCATTTAACTACTTAGAATTTACTATGCCAAAGTCAGCTTTGAGGAAACAGTCGGCCGACAAAAAAAACAAAAACAAATCTTGGATTTGGCCAAATTACACTCGCCAAAGAAATGCTACAAGGCTGGATCCAAACCATGCCAGAATCTATAAAGCTGCTCGTCAAGGCAATCGTTTCTCAGGAGTAGCCCACGTGAAGTAGTGACGTCCAACATGGAACCAGGGGAACCAGGCAGCGCGCCGACATGCACCAAGGAGTGCGGGAAAAAGCGGGCCAACATGTGACAAGAGCGATGAGGCGTGGACATGAACAACCTAGCCATAGGGAGGGCCTGGCAAATTAGTATAGCAAACTTGAGAAACACACTCGATGCCGCGCGCCGACACGGCAAAATGGCACGCCGACAGACATGGCGAAATGATGCGTGCCGACATGTCAAAAACCCACGGCGATAATAAAGCGAGAACGTTCTTTCTATCACGGTCAGTTGCTGTTTTCATTTCGGCACTCGCGCTCCTAGAATGGAAGTAGGATGAGAAGGAGCAGTAGCAATCACAGCAGGCGAGCCTTGGCCAGTGGAGTGGCTGTGACAGACAGCAAGTGCACCGGATCAGGGATATCTACATTCCGACCTCCAGCCCAAAGAATTGCTCGTCCCAGGCCATTCAACGGGATGCTGTTCCTGCTGACCTTCGTAGTAAGTTTGGCGAGGAGTTCGTGAGCAGTCACGGCTTCCGTGCCGCGGCTGTGCAGCACTTTTGACGGAATGGGGATCGTGACGTCGCGCGTGCAAAGCCAAAGCAGCATGAAGCCTCCCTTAGCTTGAACTTGTCACGGAAAGCTGAAGCAGAGCACCCTACCAGCAGTGTCATCGGCGTCAAGCGTGAAGTTTCGACGATGGCCCCAGAGCTTCGAACCCTGAGTTGGCATGTGAGGCAGACCGGCCTCGAGTCTAGCAGAGTCTAGTTGAAACAACCCCAGATCCGATTCCACGGAGTAGAGGACAACACTTTCAGCTTAGCATGCCACATCTTCTTGGGTTGCGTGTTGGTGTTGGCGTGCATGGAAAGTCCATGATAAGCGTAGCATGATCGTGCTATGCGAGAAGAGCCAATTTAAGACTTTCTCGAGTCGGAACACCCACAGAAGCTCCTGAATCTTCCGTTTCTTTTTGTTGCAGGTAATCGTCATCGACATCCATCGCGTGCAGTCCTCCTGCGGTTTCTCCATCCCCTTCTACGACTACGTGGGGGAGAGGCCCGTGCTGCCACCTGGCCCTGTGGTTTTTAAAAGAGCTGGGCTTGAGTTTGGTTTTGCTAGTTTTGCTCTGTCCGGAAAACTGCGAGCGGCTGATAACAGGCTGGAATTTAAAATTGGAACGGGGAGGGGGTGGTGGAGAAGGGACGGGAGGGGGGGGTTCAATTTTGATGATGTCAGTTTGCTTGATGGCAACCTCGTGTGCCCCAAAGCAACTGCGTAGTCGTTTTGCTCAGCGTGCAATGGGCATCTGAGCTGGCCTCAATGGGTTGCGGTTGGTTTTTTGGGGGGTTTAGGGTTTTGATGTTCTAGGGTTTCGGGTTCCAGGGTTTAGTCGTTTCAGGGTTTATCAATTTTTTTGGGGCTGTCACGGCTTGACTCCAGAGAGTTTTGCTGGTCTCGAGTACCCGGGTAGAAGGAGTTGTTCAGAACGTGATGGTTCTCTGAAGCCAGAACACCCCAACTTCCTCGTCTTGACAAGCTACCGAGGATGGATCACTGGTCGAAAAAAACGCTGGAGGAGGCATTGGATCTCCTTGGGTCTCATGTGACAGAGCCCTGAGTCCGCAACCCAACTTTTTTCGCTGTGCTTTGGCAGTCATTGTCAACGATTTTCCGGTCCAAAAGGCGACCACTTGTATATTATTGTTACAGTATATACTGTTATGATCGAGCAACCATGGTTGGTTCAACGATAAAACAAGCAATGCACACGGCATCCCCAAGAGCAACCAGCATCAAGCACACATTCATTCATTCGTCAAGTCGTTCGTTCGTTCATTCATACGCGTGTACTTCAGCATGTGCTTGTTCTGAGGACCTTTGTCTTCTGTCTTCCTCTGCTCAAGCTCACGTCCATCCAAATTCGCACAAATTCCATGATGTGCAGCCATATGCAGCCATCAATTCACAGCGAAGTTCATAATGCAGTGTGCTGCAACCAAGGCTAGATGTTACAGCCAGAGTTCGCCTTAAACCTTTCGGTTTATACAAAAACACCCTTTTTTTGCGACATGGACACATGCGAATGCGCGTTGGGGATTGCCAGTTTCGACTTCAGTTAGCACTGGGACGAAAGTCAACCAGTGCTTGGTCATGGAGTTAGATAGCGAGGAGTGGCTTCTTTCTTCGGCTGTCGCGCATGCCTGGTGCTCATGTGACAACAGCCGGAGGTCGATGACTATCGCGTGCTGAAAAACAGCACCTCGGTGGCCGCGGGCAGCTTCATTTTTTGGCGTTTGAGCTTAGAGTAGTTCCGGCCGTTCTGAGCAACTTGACAGGTCCTTTGTAGGGACAAGAAGCGCGAAGAAACATAGCACGAGTTAGATCAGTATAGAATCTAATATGGGTGACTTGCAACGCTTGTAACTGAAGCAGGACTTCACGCTGGTAGCATTCTGCCACACAAGTCGTTCTTCCTCTGACGCGGTTCTTTCTGGTGTTTTGTTCAAGCTGCTGTGTTTACAGATTTATCTGTATTTTACGGGTTGACCGAAGAGCCTGTCGAAAGCATCCGTAGTAAGGGCAATTTAACCCTCAAAGGAAAGGCTTTGACATCTAACCCTTTTTTGCCACGACATGCATGTGGCAGCTTTGTTACGCTAAGCACAAATGGGTCGTGCAAGAAGCATAATCATAAGCCACACTCTACAGTAAAGAACTGTTGACCACAAGTGAGGCTTTACAGGCACAGCAGCTTGAGCTTTGGCCGTGCAGATAAGAACAGATGTCACACTGTCCCTCATTTGGCTCCCATGCAACCAACTGGACCCTACTGACTCTAACCGCGGCGTCTAAAATCCTTGCCTGCATGCGCAAAAGTCTGATCACGGTGGCTCACGCAACTGTGACCCAAATGCTCGATGATCCTTGACCCAAACCTCAAAGCAGCGGTGCGAGGTTTCTCCATCGACCTGCTGCCGTCCATTGGTCATCGCATCTTCAACCCAAAGGTCGGCCCACCCCCTCTCAACCTTAACCTCCCAAACCGCTGTTTCTGCTCAAGCCATCAAGTTGCAGCGGATCATGAAGGGAATCTGGGGGAAGGCCTCGATCTCCCTTTTTAATCCTGAACCCTTTTGCCTTCGAACACCTCAAGGCCCTTGGCTTAAGCACACTATAGTACACTCAAATCCTGACATGGAGCTAGGCATGCCTGCACTTTTCTGCAGCATGCTAGGCATGCTAAGCATGCACACTCTTGCGCTGTTGCCGTGAATGCCGCTTGCGTAGTTGACTCAGAAGATAGTGGACGGCGAGAAGACCTGGTGTGAAGGGGCTCATGGGCTTGCCAAATGTCCTAGGGTTGGGATGTCTTCTAGAGGGGCGACGGACCCAGGCCAATTACCGCCCTCGTCTTTGTAGTTGTCTGTACGCAGTCCTGCGGGCAAAGCAGGCCCCTGTGGTGGCCCCTCGTTTCCGCGCAGGCTTTTGGTTTGGCTCCTTGGCTCACTTTACGGCCAAGCCCCTCGAACCCCGACAGCAGCCCACCCACGCTTGACCACCCAAACCTCCACCTGCACACCTAGATGTTCACTCAACACATTTGGGATGACAGGCGCCCTTAACCTTCAAAGCGCGTTGTTTGCCTCTCACCCGTTCTCCATTCCACGACATCGAAGTGCCTGCGCCGGCACCCGCAGGGGGGGGGGGTGTTGAGGGGTTCGCAAGCCACTGCAGCCTTATGTTCAAGGAAGGCTTTGAAAACCCGAACGAACGGCGCACAAAAAGCTCGCTCAGGCTTTGATCTTGAGATGAATCATGTACTCCTAGGCCTCAGGTTCAAGATTTCCGAAGTCCTAAACAGCGAAAAGCCTTTTGTGGAAGCCTAAACCGAAAAGACCCGTGTTGGGAGATCCTTGTTGCGTGCGAGGCTTCAAGGATATCACCATGACTGCGTCACGGCGGCAATTCAGCAAGCCACGCCCCTTAGTAGCTCGTCCTGGGGCCTCTTATCAGCTTATTTTGGTCCTGCTATCCAGAAATCTCAAAACCCCTGACCTCTGGAACCCCAGAATTCCTTAAACATCCTTTGCAGGAAAGCCAGCCAAGCTACCCTGAATCCCGAAGCCCTGAACCGCTGATACTGTCTGCGGGATTTCGGACCCGTTTCGGACGCTAATGTGAGTTCAGACACCCCATCAGGAGCAGTTCAACTCTTGGCTGGAACGTGTGTTGGGGCCGCTGACGCTTGGCCTCAGGACTTGTCTGAACGTAAAAACGATGAACTGACAATTCAAGCCAATCCAGGTTCAAGCACTAGCGATTCCTGATTCCTTTGGGGCTTTTCGGGTTCGGTGGTTTTTAAAGTTATGGTTTCAAGGCTGGTTGGATTTGCAGGTTGTTTAGGGCTGGGTTTTTAGGTTCAGGGTGTGGCTTCAAAAGGCTTTGCGCCTCCGACCCTCCAGCTACTCTCCTGATTGCAAAGGTTTGGGTTTTCAGGGCTGAGGGTTTTTCGCGTTTCGGGTTTTGCGGTATGTAAGGTTTGGTTGGGGCTTTGAGGTGTTTAATGTTTTTAGGCTTTAGGCTTTAGGCTTTGGGTTTAAGGTATAGGGTTTGTTTTAGCCGCATGCGGATAGGCCGTAGAGATCCTTCCGTGCCCAAGTTGTGGAATCCTTGCACCCCTACGCCTTTTAGTTGTGAGACAACCTGGACGAACGAGAAGTCTCCAGTTCGAGCAGCCATATCTCCTTCGAAGCCCTATAAGCCCTCAAGTCTACTCCAATCCAAAGCTCATGCCGCGACTCAGGAGCTTTCTCACAACTCGCGACATCGGCATGCTGGGCATCGGAGCCCTCTCCGCTGTGGCAGTGGCCAAGTACTGTGAAGCCCTTCGCAAGGCTTGAGCCCAACGGCTCTCTGTCGGTACAGCAAGCGATTAGCAAGCTTTTGCCCGAGCTTGTCATGACTTTTGCTTGAACCTGCGCAACGGCTGCCGCGGCTGCAGCAACAATCGATGGCAAGGGGCCGTGTTGCGAAGTGAAGTGTTGCGTTCTAGACAGCCGCATAAAGCTGTGCTTCCTGAAGCCATCTCCAAGATACGATGCAGCTGGCCCCCCCTGATCCACATCAAGGAGGTACCTTCCCCTACTAATTACCTGCAGAAGCCCTAAGCCGTTTGTATGACATGCATCGATTTGTTGGAGCCCGTGGGCCGTATGCTGGGGTCCAACCTGCAGCCGTGGCAAAGTGTACAGGCACGGAGAATCGGGAGCTAGAGAGACTCTGAAGGCTGGTTGCAGGCTTCATCACAAGTTTCCTCAGAGCTCCCAAGCAGTGTTTCAGGCCATTGTTTGCCCTGCAGCCCTCGGACGAGGTACTTGATCTCGGAGCGCACATTGGGACAGCGGCTTTGTGGCTCGGCCAGAACCATGTGTGGCACATTGGCTGCCATGAGCTGGCGTAACTGGAAAATGTTGTGCACAGATATGACTCGCTCGGACAATGAAGCCCCCACGGCGCCGCTCGCTTGCGCTGCAAAAGCACGGTGCACATCCAGTGGTCAGTTTATAGTTTCAGAGTATCGGGTAGTGAACAACTATTGAATAATACAAAAGCCGTTCATGTCATTACATTACCATCCGAATGCGCTTGGTCATTGCACCGGGCTTCTCGACCTGATCCTGAGAGAGAACGACGAGCTTGCTGTAGTTAAGCCCCCTTTCTTGGTTTCCGTTCTTTTTCCAATCGACTTGCCCTTGCGGGTAGGCTCCCGGCCAGCAAGGTCAAAGTAAGTCTCGTTGACCCGCCAGTCCTTGAAGCGTTTGTCCTTGGCCTCGTTCATGCTGTCCTGGTGCTCATTCTCCTTGCCCTCAATCACTTGCACGGTATGGGACCTAGAGTAGGGCACATGTTGATGCCATCGCAACATGTTGTCTGGGCCATGTATCAGTGATCCTCAGTCGCACGGGCCTGTAAAACATTCGGGAATCAGGTTCGAGCAGGTGCTCGCATGCTTTGTAGTATTTGTTTAGAGATCTCGGGATCTCTCACCGGACTCCCAAGCTGCTTTCCTAGTTCACTTACGCATCTGAAAGGACACCTTCATGCTGAACTTCATTGGCACTTCAGTGAGAAGTCAGTTGGCCGCGAAAGCCGGCAGCGCGTGGTGTTGAGCGTGGAGAAAAGAACCAGAAGATTGGATTGGAGGTGCAGGTACTAGAGTGTTTGGGTTTGGGTTTGGAGTCGCAACAATGCTCCCAGAAGCACCGAAAGCAGGAGTTTGGAACCACTTGCACTTCGAGTCTCAGATTTCGGCAGCCGAAACGAGGGTGTGCCCTGGTTGAGGGTTTGGAGACTGGGCACCTCTGGGCACCTCGGACGACCGCACTCTTCAGTACGGCCGTCATGAGACAGAGTCTGTGGAGTCGGTGTCCCTAAACCCTAAAGCTGTAAACTCTAAACTTTTCATTGAGGCCCAAAACCCCAGAGCTGCCCTTGCGGCACCCAGGTTGTGCTGTGGCGGCAGCTGCCCTTTGCGGTGAAGCGCCCTGTCCGTGCGCGACCTGGGACCCCCCCGGCGGGTGATGCAGGTTTCTGCCAGGGACTTCGTCTAAGCTTCAAGGTCCCAACAAGTTCCCAATAAGCTGTTAATGAAGTTCTCAGGAGGTACAATCTATAGCTGAAGTGTTACCGGCATGTCAACCGTCAGAGTCGGGCATTCTTAGCTTAGTCAATGCTCGGCACACCATGCACGAAACACGCCCTTCCACCTTGCACCTGTGCTGGTGGGTTCCCCGAAGCACCGCAACCAAATTCCTGAAAGCAGTCACTTCCGAACATAGAAGAGCATGTCTTGCATGGACAGCCATGTTCCATGTCCGAGCGGATTCAGGTGAAAATCTAGGAACCGCGCAGGTCGATTCACGGTCCATGGTCTTTGCTTGGTCACGGGTCCCGGGTTGTTGCATGGTTGCCATTCTCGACGAAGGGAAGGCCTTTTGTAGTTTTGGCGTCCTGCGGCGCTGCGTGTTATAAATTTTTTCTAGGCGTTTCACCACTACGGTGTAAGAATGCTCATACAGCTGGTTGCGGCCTACGAGTCTTCTGAAGGCGTTTCTTGGACCTGGGTTGCGCCCCGGGCGGCTTCAGCGGCTGCTTGCTTCAGGAGTTCGGAGTTCCGTTTGCTTCAAGGGGCGACGCATGGGCTGAGGGTGTTGGTGGTTTCGGGCTCATGGCATGGGCTTAAACTTAGGTTTCGGGCTTCGAGCGCGGGGCTTTGCCCCAGAAGCTTCGTAGGACACTTCTTGAGAGAATGCAGGCCGCACATCGAGAGCTGCTTCTTGTGTTTTCTCAGGTTTGGGCGAAGAGTGTTTCGGGCCAGGGTCAGACTTGAAGGTTTAGAGGTCTAGGATTCAGGAGCACTGCTCCCGAGAATTTACGCAACTTGCTTGGTACTTCAGGCCTCGAGATCTCGCGAGGATGTCTACAATGCATGCATTCAGGCGTTCGCATAAACAGATAGACACATGCATCGGTAAAAGTGTGTACATCCCAGAAAAGGGTTTCACAGCTGAAGCCTTCACTGTGGGCCTACTTGTTACGGACTCACGCAGGACCACATCTTGGGCCCCATGAGTGTGGGCTATGGTGTCCGGGCCCTAAAACAGCGGTTCAGCTCCTTCGGGAGAGAGGATGACTCGACTAATATTTGCGGCAAGTCAGTTTGGGCACTTCGGAGACCTGCGGTGCAAGTTGAGACTTTCCCAGCTGCTGCAGGGGAGCGCAGGGTTTCTGTAGAACTCAGGTCGTTTCGTGAGTGCGCTTGGTCCAGTGCTTTTGAACATATTCTCCTGCACGCTAGCCCTTCGAACCCTGAAACCCTCCTTGCAGGTCTCGTTGCCGCCCCAGCTGGGCGGCTTCCAGATGGTCATGACGACGCAGCGGCTCTGTGTACAGCCGTGGCCCTAGAGAGAGTCTAGCAGTCAATAGCAGTTTTTGAACGCCTTTGTGATTGCAGACCTTGGAAGTCGAGGGGGCTTTGATCATGTTTGTGTTTTTGCAGTCGGTTAAGATTTGAGATTTAAATCCGGCCCCCGACCCGCTCCCCTTATGTGGTATTGGCCGTGTCTCAGCTGGTATCTGCCAAAACCGGGGGGGGGGGGGTAGCACCTGTTTATATCGGTGTAAGCTATGTGTCTTTATCTTGCTCCGGTTCGTCTATCAAACTCATCTCATCTAGCAATTCTGGCCTCGTCTAGCCCAATCAGGCCGAGGTAAATGTCCTCCAATACTGTCTAACCTGTTTCTTCGAGTTGATCTAACTTATCAGTCTGTGCCTGTAACTGTTTGTCACCTACACAGGATCTCTCCTTACTCGTGGATGTACTTCCCAGTGTCACTGGATCCTGCAGTCCAAGCCCTTCACTGCAATTTGGCAATCAGGTTTCAAGATCTCCTGCAAGTGAACGCTTGCGAATTGGCAGGGCTCCCAAGCCTTTGTACTGTTGCCGGTCGCCAGTGATTAGATTTAGGGTTCAGGGATTTGTCTTCGGCTCGTGTAAGGGGTCATATGGTAGGCTAACCAGTGCAGAGCACCGTTGCTTACTGTCTGTTCAAACCCAAAGCCCTTCAAGCATCAATCCTGGCTATTTTCCCCACAGCTTACATGAAGGCCGTCGCCGCTGAACATCAATGGCTCATAAACCCCCCAAGCCTCAATCTAGTCAACTCAGTTTGGAAATGTATAGTCCACTTTCCAAAGGCCTTCAAATATGTTGAGGTCTCCAAAGTATCTCTGGTGTCAGACACAGAGCTGGCACTCATGTTTCCCGTGCTCATCTCAAGCAAGATGGGTACCTTTCTTCTCCTAAACTCAGGTCATCATTAACAAGGTCAAACCCAACGTTGCTGCATGCTACTTTTCATACCGCCAAGCCTGAAACGCTGTTTCTCTGCTGCGCCCAGCTTTGCATGGACAACTCCATCGACATTTGCGTGGCAGATGCACAGTGCTCTGGGACTGAAAGACCCTGAGCAACCGCAACCTACAACACCGAAGGCCGCGAGCCAGAGATCCTCAAGTCCTAAAGCCCCGAAGATCGATCATCCCGAAATCCTCGACGCTAAAGCCAGCACCTAACTAAACACAACACCCGAAAGCCCAAAAGCCTAAACTGCCTAACGAGTTGTTCGCGCGTTTCGCGATTTGGAAGGTCAGTGTGCTGCCTATCAAAGTGTCGCAAAGGCAAAGGCCTGGAGATAGTGGTAACGACTTGTTGGGCATGTGTTTTTATTTTTAGGCTTTAGCGCTGAGGGCCTCGCAGCCATCTTAAATTTGCACACCGAAAGCAATTCAAATTAGCCCCAGAAGCTGTGACATCCTGTGCGCCCAAAGCCCCACCTCTTGCAAGCCCATGCCCGAACACCCCAATACCCCGATAATGAATAATGGAAGGTACTTGTCCAACATGTTCAAGCCGCAGCATCAGGCCGCCAAGGACAGATCCCCGTTGAGGGGATCGGGGTTGTCTGGACTTCTTGATTATGGAGAGGATGCACCCACAGCTTCAAACAAGCTCCATGACTTGACAAGATGCAAAAATTGCCCGAATCCCTTTGGAGTCCCCCAATGTGTCAGCATGAGAGGGGAGCCTTGCAGCACGTGTGCAAGGGTCGGTATCTTGGGAAGGAGCGTGGCTTGAAGGGTTCGGGGCCTGCCTTCAACCCAGGTTCCTGTTGCCTTGCTAGTCAAGCACTGCATCAATCCTTCCCCCCAAGCTTGCTACACCAGAAACACCCCAAGCCTTGCGCCAAGCTGCAAGCCCCGAACCCCAAACCTCCAAGCCCTACACACGGCTCCGCCCAGTACCGCGGCACCAAAGTTCGCAGTCGAACTCTGGGCATT